AAAAAAAAAAAAAAAAAAAAAGTTCACGTGTTTGGACCGGGGATTTAGCTCAGTGGTTCCAGCGCCTGCCTCACAAGCAAGGTCCAGAGTTCGATCCCCGGTACCAAAAAAGAAACAAAAAAAAAAAGTTCATGTGTTGGAAACTTGGTCCTCAAAATAGCAATTTTAAGTGGGACTTCTGAAATATGACCAGCTCTGCTTCCCAGAAGTGACTTTGTTATAAAACTGAGCTCTCTCTGGGTAGCCTGCATTTCTCCCATGATGCCGTCTGTCACATACAAAGCAGAAAGAAGGCCTGCACCAGATGCCAACACTGTCCTCTGAAGACTTCCAGCCTCTAAAACTGTGAGCTAAATCAACTTCTATTTTTTACATTAGCCAATATGTGGTATTCCATTATAGCAACAGAAAATGGAATAAGACAGCATTTAAAGTAGAAATATGAAGTATGAATTAGGCTTCCATGATCATATTTTTCGTGTGTGCTTGTTATGAAAAATGTCAACTGTTGTCTCATGACATGGTCTTAAATCAAAATCACAATATCCGAGGGAAAAACGACCCTAGGAAGAAAAGAGTATTGTTTAAAGGAACACAGAAGTAATCTAGGCGTCATGATGCACCAGTGGTCCCACCTACTTGGGAGGCTGAGGTAGGAGGATAACTTTTGAGCCCAAGGAGTTCAAGACCAGCCTGGGCTACATACATAGTGAGACCCCCATCTCAGAAAACAAAAACAAAAGTGATACAAAATGGTGCTACACGCTTACTCATAGAATTATATCCTACCTGTGGATGCTTAAAGTAATCAAGTCCTCTTCCAATCTTAATCATCCATCCATTGTTGAACCTATTGAAATTAGTATACAGTATCAGATTTGAGACAATTATTAAAGCTGTAGTGCATTAAGTATCAGTAAAATTTCCCCCCAACAAAGAAAACCATTTCCTCCAATACATGAGCTGAATCAGACCTGGATCATCATGGGCTCTGTCTACAATTAAACACAAGGGCCACAGAAACAGTCAGCTGACTTGATTAGCTAACAGTTTTAACAATTAAGTCAGAACTTACTCTTGCATTTCAGCTTGTTGATAAAGTTTTCCACTGTGCTAGGTGGCTGCGGAGTATATTCACAGAGACTGTGGTGGGATTTCAGGGGATCCCTTCCTAGAGATTGGGAACATGAGCACAGGAACCCCAGCTCCTGACCACTGCTTTAACCACAGAAGCACTGAACTTGCATCTATTTTGTGTAGTTTGTGCTTAAGTTTCCATTTAAAATGGGGTTGCCATTGTTATAATCATAGGAAAACCCCTGTGCTAAACAAAAGGAAGATAGCTCTAAAATAACTGCAAGCACGACTTTCTTATTGACTCAGCATTTGGGGGGGCGGATTTCTTGTTTGTTCATTTGTTTTGAGACAGGTCTTGCTATGTAGTTCAGGCTGGCCTTGAACTCACACCAATCCTCCTGCCTTAGCCTCACAACTGCCAGGATTTCAGGCATGCGCCACCATGCCTGGCAATTCAGCATATTTCCTTTCTGCCAGAATATTTACTTACCCACAGCAAATAAAACTACATTATGTAAATATAAATTTTACTGGAAAAGGAACTACTTCACTCTCATAACACTATATGCAGTACGCAGAACAGTCTTCCCTCTTCCTACAATGACATAGAACATGTAAATTTTATTTCCTCTAGAAATAATAAATTCATGGGACAAAGTAAACAGATTTTTTTCTTTTAATCTCAAAAGTGAGAAATTACTAAAATTGAGCTTTATTTGAATTTTAATATTTAAACAGTATTTGTATACAATTATATAAGACTTATTAAGAGAAATTTTAAAGCTATTTCAACTGGATAAAAATTAAAGTTTTACTGTACACAAACCTAATTTCTCGGTCATGTATTGAAGAAGAATATTCTATTTCCAACAGCACTCCATGATTCCTGAGTGACTCTTTTATTTCTTCCAGGCTACTTTGTTGTACTTTCCCAAACCCCTGTTAATAGCAAAAATATAATTTGATGCTTCAGTTACTAACATTTTAAATTATCCCTGTGCTATACAGTGAATATCACAGATGGGTTAAAATTTAAAAGTTCTATACTATTTTAATGTCTATTATCTCAACAAAGCAACCCAACAATGTGAAGTAATTTAAAAAACAAGTAATTTTATAAAGTTTCTTCCTAACATGACCATAACACAACTTCAGCTGGTCTCCTTAAAGGTATTTTAGTAATGATGTTTAATCATACAGGTGTGGCTGCCCACTTCTTAATTAATGCTGGAAATCATAATTATTTAGAGGCATCCCTGTTTAAGCCCCAATCAAGATAAATATGCTTACTATCATGCTGCTAATCCCAGAAAGAATTAGTAAAGACACAAAATAGTAGTGCAGAAAGCATGATCACTTCTAGGAACATCCCAGAGAAAAAACTGACAAACTATGTGAACAAATAAGAATTTATGAAAATGGTCAAATCCAAATCAACATCCTAAAATCAACAGCATTTTTCTCAAGATGTGCTAGGCTGATTATCAGATAATAATTCCCAAGAAATGAATATAGCTGAAGCATTGCACCCAGGTTTTCTGTAATCAGGCTACATCTCATAATTGAAAAAGTGTTAATAAGCCAAGTAAGAAAGTTCTTTCAGATACCTACTTTATCCAGAGAGGTGAGAAGATGAATCGTTTTTACTTTACATGGTTTCTTAATAAGCATCTCACAAAATCGAAGGAAGTTATATAGCTGAAAGACATCAGGATGGATAATGACTAGTACAGTTTTACCTCTGCACTGAAGGGGCGGGGCTTCCAGGACCCCTCCCCCATTCACAGAAGCTTGTCCCTTATATAAAATGCCCCAGTATTTGCACAGTCTCCACATAGCCTCCCAAATACTTTAAATCACACCTAGATTACTTGTAATATCTGATACAATGTAAATAGTTTACACTGTGCTGTTCAGTGAACAATGTTAAGAAAAGTGTGTCCAGTATAGATGCAATTTTTTTTTTAATTTCCATCTTTATTTGAATGTGGGACCTACAGAGGGCTGACTGTTCATTAAAAGTAAGACTTCATTGTATTTTAGTACACGTGACTTACCTGATGAGTTTGTCTAATGTAAGGGTCTTCTATCCAAACTTCTGTGACTGTCTCATTAAGGTATTCTTTAAAAAGTGACTCATAACCAAAACCTGTTGCATTCTCTTCTATCTTAATTTGTTTGTGATATTTTCCATCTGCAAAACACAAACTTCAGTATATTATCAGTTACCACTTTTTAAAACAATTTTTAAACAGTGATTAACCAGGATCAGTTATAATTTTTAAACTTATAATCCAAGTTAAAGAATGGGATGTCACAGGATCAACAGGATAGTTCCATTGGTTTTGTTAATTCAAAATGAATAATTATTGAATAAGTTATCAGAGACCATCAAGGTTTTAAAAAAATATATGACCCCTAATAGTAATCCCTAATTCACATGGTTTTGTACTTCATACTTTGCTTAAAAATCAGTAGTCTGGCTCTTCTTTGGGGGATAGCATCTGAAGGCACTCAGGACAGTCTAGCATTGGACATACATATTAGGCTTTCCTGCAATACAGGCTCTTAAAAACTAGACTGTCCCAAAACAGTGGTAACAGAATTATTTGCTTTTTATGTCAAGAAGGTTGGGAAAGCACCAATATCTGTGTGTGGGATGTCCCCAGGCACTCAGGGGTTTGTGCCATGAGACCCAAAGTTCTAAAGTTGTCTAAGACAATGAGAAACCATGTTGGGCCATAGTAAGGACAGAGAGGAAGAACAGCTAAGGGTCAGGGGACCAGTACTTGCAGGTGGCAGTACCTCTGGCCATAGAAAGCAGCAATAATGTACACTGTAAGGTGGCAATGCCCTTTTATGTAGATGTTCATAACCTGGATGCTTGTGAATAGGAAACTAGTAATATACAGGGAACAATACATACCTATTTCACATCTGGTCATTAGGAGTACTTAACTCTTGGTATGCTTTGATTCACAACAGTATCTTAGAGAAGTCCCAGGAGTTTCTTTAGCTACTTTAATGATTTTACTCCTTTCATAAAGGGAAGTACACATAAAATACAGGATCCACATTCAGCATTCCTCTGCAGTAGTTCTTAAACTAGGTCCACAAAGCAACTGGGAATCTGCAAATTCCTTAGAAATGGTGATGTTCTGCAGTATGTAGAGCTTTTATGGGATACTCAAAGGGGTGTATGACCCCACCCATTAACAAAAAAAAGTGAATAATTCTTGTATAGAGGGAGAAGAAATGCAGAGTAAATCTGTAAGCCCCAGGCAAATGGTTCAGACTACACAGAGCTCTAAAGGAAGCTGGAAATACTTGGAGAATGGACAGAATCATGGCAGCTTATGGATAAGTTTTCTACTATTTTTTGTGGTGCTGGGGATCAAACCTAGGGCCTCATGCATGCTAGGCAAATGCTTTAACCCAGCTTCATCCCCAGCCCCCTTGGACCTGTTTTTTAAAACAGCCTTTTTACCTTCTTTTACTTGATCCAAGTATTTCTTTATGTCTTCTGCTCTATCCATGTAGTGAGTAATTTTTTCTCTGAGATAACATCTCTTAGTGTGATCCTGGGTGCCTATAAATTTTTAAAATAATCATATTTTCAAGTTTGAAAATAGTTTTTCTATTTAGTTCAAACATTATTTCCAGTTTCCCACAAACTTCCTTCTTAGCATGGTTTACCTCAGTCCTAAAATACATAGGTGCCAAGCTCAAATTCAGCTGATACAGAGTAGTCATTCTAAGAATATGAAGCACCTTTGGTTAGGAATGTGGCACTGATACTATGTCACCTCTGGAGCACCAAGTCTGGAAGGGTGAGAAAGGTGGCTTAATGTCAAACGCTTTACAAAAACGTTCAGTATGAATAGTGGTTAACAAAAAAGGCCCTGGAGTCAGGCCATTTTCATTTAAAACTTGCTTTTCCACTTTTAGCTGAGTGACTTCTGGCCAGTTAGTCATTCTCTTTGTATCTTCAACTTTAACATGGAAACAGTAATAATACCTTAGAGCGTGGCTGACTATGAAAAAGCCTGCCAGGCATGTAGGAAGTAAATGCTGCTTGTCAACAGCAATATCATCCATGTAATTCTTCCCATACACCTCACCCAAGCTCCTTTAGAGCCACACTTTAATATCTCCTTTTTTAATCTCTGCTGTTGATTTGCTACTCTCCCTAAACATGTTCTGTTTTTTCCATCACTTTCCTGCCAGAACAAAACCCAAGATCCACCTTCCCTCAACCTTCCTATGCTTTTAAATTTTCCAAAAATTATGAGTTTCTCTTTTCATTGACATGCTTCTTGGATGCCCACTCGATTTAATTACTTGCCATTTGGGCTTTAGAAATAAAAGATTTCTAAAGGACCTTAAAACTAAGCTCACCAATGACTACACTAAACCACACTAAACTACTTATTTGGTAAAAGAGCACAAACATTTGAATACTCTTAGCTGAATGTCTTTTCTTTTTAAAACAAAGTATGAATAATAGCTCCACTAGGACAAGGGACAAGGTACTGGCAGCAGGGCAGGGACACTTTGTACCACCCTTAGTGACATTTTCTAACCATGTATGTGTTATTTTTAATCTCTTGAAACCACAAGGTTTTTCAAATAACTTAAATTCCAAAATAATGATGTCTGTGTATGAATGTTCTCTTATTCAGAGTCGGCTGTAATATACAAACAGCAAAAATTCAGACACCTACAGCAGCACATCAAGTTAGTACCATACAAAAAACACAACTTTAGGCACTTTATCAAAGGACAATGTTTAGAAACACTGTAAATGAGGCCCTTGCATCTTCTGCCACCCCTGCTCAGGGCTCTGCTGGCCCCCAATTATACTTTATAGTGATCTCTCTCTGTCCTAAATAAGGAAACCACATGATCTGACAGCAGGAGTTCCCTTCAGCTGAGGAGAGGGACTTCAGTCAGTGACATCCCAAATAACTATGTAGGATTGCTGAGTGGCATTGCTTCTGCTCTCAGCATTTCCTACACAGACAGGGTTTACATGCCTGGCCTCCTGGTGACACATTTAGACACCACAACTCACTTTACCTTCATGGTGATGAAAACCACAGCTGTGGCCCAACAGTCTGACTTGATGAAGCCAGTTTGAAAAGCTGGTCTGATCACAACCTGCTATCTTTTTGGTTAACAGAAAATCAAAAGCATGGACTCAGCAGACTACCAGAGCAGGTGAGGCGGTGACACATTGGGAGCCAAAGACCCATCAGGTTAATTTAAATGGGAAATAGCAACACCATCAGCTTTTGGATGGTGATTCTGTAGTAAGCATGAATTCGTTGGCGTCTGCTATTAACCAGAAAACCTCTGTCTTCATACTTGAATGCTTTATGACAGTAATTTTTTTCTTTTTGGTACCGAGAATCGAATTCGGGTCCTTGCACTTGTGCAGCAGGCTGTGAAACCAGAGCTAAATCCCCGGCCCTATGACAGTAATTTTTGCATTGATCAGACTGGCGTTGTGGCAGACCCTTTCTAGAAGAAATGAGAATGTCACCTGGTCTGAGTTTCCAGCACCCATCCCTGCCCACAAGACCAGCAAGGAGCTCTAGTGGCCTGTCTGCTCCATGGGGAGACACACTGCGCAGTCACAGGTCTTCTCGCTGACCTCCAGTTCATTTATCTTCCTTCAAGGCCCGAGATTTCAGACCCCTTCCTTCCTTGTTTCTTTTGCTCTTCTCTTGCTTTTTCTCCTTGCCTCCTCCTCCCTTGCCAGGCACACCTGTCCCTCCAGAGTAACATCAGCACACCTGTTTTGACTGACCAAAGTCCTTGATCTCCCAGGCATTGCTCCTAAGAATGAAGATAGCCCAGTCTGATCCCACAATGAACCTCTGCCCATTGTAGTTGGCATTGCACAGGCTGCCCTGCCGTAGGCTCCTGATTTCCTATCTCCTTCTCCATGGGGCTCCCCCATCCAATGACAAACAGCATAGGAGTTTTTCCTTTCTTCATCATTTTCAGGATGCTCTTGGGCTTCCCCTGGTCTGCTTTGAGAAGTCAACAGGTGCTGAAGGTCTCTTGTTCTCTCATTTCTTCCTTCTGTGTCATCATTTATCTCCCACTGTTCCAGGAGACCTGCCATGTCCACATTGTTGTAGTTGCCAATGTCCTCCTTCTGCAGAGGTGGAGTAGCCTCATTGGGCGTCCAGGTCAGAGGCACAAAGCAGGAGCAGGGAAGCACACAGCCACCTGGAGACCACCATCTTCACTATGAAGCCTTTTTATTTCTGATTTCTGAAGTTCTACTGTTTACTCCAAAGCTTCTATCAAACCATCATCTCTACCTTTCTCCCTTCGCGTGACCTTTACTTGTTTAAATCTACATTGTACTTATCTATCCCAATACTTATTCCTTGTATCAGAATTAATTGCATTTTGGGTCTTAACTTGTCTCTATAACCTCCTTGGGACCTGTGACTCTCCTGCTTCTGATCCCTCACAGGAGTGTTCCACCTGACCAACACTTCACTGGCTCTGTTTTGGGGACTTGATATTCCAGTGATTGAGGCCTCTGGCTCCAGTTGTGGCTCTACCACCTGCCAGCGGCAGAACTTGAAAGAGAAATACCTCTTGACACTATAGAATAAGAATACCATCAACTCCTGCTTTAGAGAACAATTTAAAGGATGAAAAAGGTCATACATTTGTTTCTGCTTTCTCGAGGTTCTAGGGATAAATCCAGGGCTTCATGTTAGACAAGCACTCTACCACTGAATTATGTACCCAGTCTCAACTTTGTTTTTTGTTTTGTTTTGATTTAGGGCTGGGGGGAGATGCTCACAATATTTCTTTCCAAAAATCACTCCGCATCTCTAAAACTTAAGAATAGTTTTTTTTGGGGGGGGGGGAATTGCCTTATTAATGATTTTAATATACTCTATATTCAGACTTCCTAATCCAACGATGTCTCTTAAAGTTCTCTCAGCTCCCTGCCTCCATCCCAGGCTCCTAGGGCCGAGAAGCTCAGCCAGTCCCAGCGCCCGGAAGGAAGCTCCCTGCTGCCATCCCAGGCTCCTAGGGCAGAGAAGGTGAGCTTGTCCCAGCACATGGAAGGAAGCTCCCCCATTGCCATCCCAAGTTCCTAGGGCAGAGAAGCTGAGCCGGTCCAAGAACCTGGAAGGAAGCTCCCCTGCTGCCATCCCAAGCTCCTAGGGCAGAAAAGGTGAGCCATGTGGGCACCAGCAGCACCACCACCACCACCATCCCCCCCATGGAAATGAGAAAACACATAAACAAGCCTCAAAAACAGACTTCCAGATCACCTACAGCAAC